TTTTCCCAAAAATGTTCGCAGTAGAAGAAATGTGTTGCTTTTTTCCAACCAGTATCAAGCAACTTTCTTGACTACAGGTTATGGTTTTGGAACTAGCAATTACTAGATACTGAATGCATTTTCCAAACTTGATTAGTATTATAGTACATACAAATAGTCATTGGAACTCTGGGCAGAATTTTCGCGAGATTTTTCCAAAAATCTAAACATGTAAATTTGTAGCTTTATTTGGTGTAAGATAAGAAATTCCGCCTTTTGGGAACATTTTTGTAATGGTGATGTGGTCAGTCTGTTTTAATCTGCAGGATCTGGACCTACCGCGGTAAAAAATTCCCCTAAGCTTTATTTACCAGTCGGCTTCCCGTTTGTTAAGCCGTTCTTTTTTTTCAAACATCCCTTTGAATGATTTGTTTGTTGCTACTGAGAAGAAGCACGGCGCACGTTCCTAATCACCCGCCTACATAAGCATCCTCGAAAACCAGTTAACTTGACGTCTTCGACTTTGATCACTGCCTGTTTACACCACTTCAGAACTACTTCGCAGTAAGGATATTTCGCAAGAACCAGATAAAGTTGTATCAATTTCCATTTCCGCACAGCTGTACAGCTCCGATTTCGGGTCATTTTCTCACCATGCCGGTTTGACCCGTCAAGGACACTGCCCTAACTCGGACTTCGCCCAGTCCACCTTGGCCTGGACCGCCATCGTAGTGAGTCCACGAACGAATCGATTCAATGATCCTAATTCATCGACTGCCGCGCATGTATTGTTAATCGTGGAGCTGAGCTGACGATTGCGTTCGCTAAGACGTGATTCCGGTTCCTTTCCATGCCACAAAACCGCCTCCTATTGTCTCCATCAGGGCAACTTCTTCTGGTGGGGGACTGTAAAGCTGTCATCGACAATAATTAGCTCCAATGATTTTCTGGGAAAATATGCTGGGTTTGCTGGAGGGAATGGCTAATCTGACGTTCATCCATGTTTGCTCACCTCGTCCAAACAACTCTATTTGCATCCAAAAGGACTGGCTAAGAATTCCGTGCCACATCAACGGCCAAGCACACTCGGGGAATACGCGCGAACCCGGTTCAGTCGGTCGTTCTCTGTGAAAGACGGTCAGAATGTGCGCTCGTTCAAAGGTCGCCTTTATGGGAAGCCGGCTGGAATCTTCTGAGAGAGATGAACGAACATTTCAATGAAATCGAAGATCCTGTGAGAGCGATCCGATTGATGCAAGAATGCGAACGGCTAGTGGTCGATACGGATATCGTTCACACGAAACCCTAACTTGACTTCTCAACGATGGAAACGAGAAGGGATAAGGCAAAAGGGCTAATACTAGAGTTGGGGACAGTAGCGAAGCTAAGGAATCCCACATCAAAAATATAGGAAGAAGTGGGTACCACACACACGAGGGGCTATCGCAAGATACGGTAGCATTGTGTGCAGTGCATTGAAAACCGCTTAAATCATCTCTTTTGTTAAAATTGGGACTAAGCTTCAGGCAGGGGAGGAGAAACTCCAGGGTGCGTGAGCAGTTTTCATTTTCCTTGAAGTTCCTGCCCCTCCTAGGCTCAATCTTAGAGAATGCCCCGTATATGGCGATAGCGCCGAAAAAAAAACTTCTGTTCTGTAACGCTTCTGACTTCGTCCTGCACCTATGAACTGCCTTCAAAATAAATATTCCAAAAAAATATTCAGAATGTTCGAAATAGAAAAAGAAATATTCGAAATAATATTAAATACGAAACTCCGCTTGTAGGACCGTCGTTCTTTTTAGAATTTTCAAATTCTGTAGAGCCCATAGATTCCGCATGACCTGCAAACCGAAATGCATTTGCGGTCCGATGAGGTCAGCGTACGAAAAAGTCTGCCTCGACGAGGGTGGTTAATGCAAGTGTCAACAGAAATGAGACGCTTGCGCAGTTTCGCTGAACGACCTCTTTTTGAGTACAAAATGATTTCAATTACCATTACAGAACCAGGCTCGATTCAGTTTGGACGAGGCAATTGAAGTGTTGCTATGGGTGCAAAGTGTGACTCAAATGCCGTACTCATCGGATCCAACTACCTGTCGAACAGCGGCCGATGTCGCTGATTTGCTGAAGGATGGCGTTCATTTGTGCAAGTGAGCGCTTTGATTTCTCAACTCGAATTTTTGGATACACGTTTCACACTAGTGATACTGATTTTGCGCCTATAAAGCGAAGCATAAAGCATGCCGTTGATCAATCCCTTTTTGGGATGCGGCACGCATTCTACTTCCATTTGTACATTCGTAGTGGCGTTTGAATGCGATGTACAATGACTTGCGGGGGCCAGCCGATGTACAAGTCAGTGTTTTATCCTCCCAGACAAGTCTGGTACCAATTAACCGACCCCGGAGGGATGGAAGGCTTGGTTGGCCCGGGCGACTCACGACCCAGGATTTGATCCCCGGACCGCTCGCGTGGTAAGCGTGCCACTTGCCACTACACCACTTCCGCCCTTTCGCACCTATGGTTACACATATTGGAAGGTTACATAGCTTTATGAGTAAAAATAACATCGACAAGGAATATGACGGCCATTAGTACTTCCAGTCACTGACTGGTACCCAAGGGGAAAACGAAGGCCCAGAGGCAGACCCCCACCCGATGGGCAGACCCTCTCGTAAAATTGTACGGCCAGCTTGTGGCGCAGAAGAGCCCGGAAGATGTGCGACCTGCGTTTCTGGCGTGCCCGGGACGAATAGCGGTCGAGAAGTAAGTAGTAAGTACTTCCAACCTATAACCTCAGAATGTCGATCGGACAGTAGATATTCCAGACAGAGATTCCCTTCATCAATAGAGCTTCGCGAGTTTTTGAAACTCGTTAGCGCTTTCTAGAAGGGTCACAAAAATTTTTAGACACTCCAGTAAATTTCATCAGCGACAACAAAGGTAAGTAGCGGTGGAAGGGATTCCTTGACCAGCGCCCTCGACTGTGCGAGAGTAATGTCGAGAGCGAATGTGTGCGCGGGAGAGCGCCTGTGGCCTGCAAAAATCCTCGACGAGGTTGCCGTTTCCTCGAGCGATTTTCACCCTGGCCACGACGCTAGGAAGAAGAAGAGGAAGACCCTAGTAAATTTCGTAGGTGGGAACCGGGAAGGTCGAATCTTCTATGGAGGTTCTCAGGATAATCACATAACAAAACAAGGTATTCCAACGAAGCTTGAAGTCACTAGTAAGTCAGCTCAAGGACTTCGCGCTGCTGGGAACACACCGATTCCCTCACTAGAAATAGCTGTAACCTAATCACCCCCAAAATGTCAGTTCACGAGAAAAAAGCAGAGTTCATGCTTTGTGAATCGATAGTGTTCCCTTTCTTCTTTTTTACAAAGAAACAGTCTGAAACATGCACTTTGATGAAAAGTTTCTTTTGAAGGTCCCTTACAATACACCTCAACGACCTTGTCGAAGTAGGTGATCCAGATGGAAAAGGACATTGCATTTTACTTTGCAATATGCACGTTACTTGGAAGTAAATGCAAAGAAACGAAAGTTTCATACGTATATGTGTGATCGTTCACTTCTTCTATAATATTTCCCGGACAACGGATAGTGCACGGTTCTGAGGAGACCCATTACACTTCTGCAGACCGGTTCCCAGCAGACCACGCAAGCGTTCCATCTCGCCGGGTTGGGTAATTAGTAAGCAGCGACAGTTTCATACATATCTATCTCCCAATAAAACTTGTCCCGGAGCTTATATAAAGCAACTGTAACATTGACCGGCACTCGATCCCATTGTGTACCGGCAGCAGTAAACG